CCCCGACCTCACCTCAGCCACGAGTCCTGCCCCAGCCTCCCTTCCTCACCGCCACCACCACCTTATCTCCCCGGAATTAGGTAGGAGCCTCCTGATGGCTCTCCCTGCTTTCCTGTCCCCGCTAACCCACTCCCAACCCGAGAGAGTTGGAGAGATTGTTCTAAATCCTCTATGTGACTGTGGTGCTCTCCTGCTAAAATCCTGTCAGTGGTATCCTGTCCCAGTCAACCGGGGCAAACGTGTTAGGTTGGCATCACAACTCTCTTATCTATGGCTTCACAGTGCAGGTGGTGAGGCGGGGAGAGGAGGTGTCCCTTAGACCCCAGAGACACAGTTAGCAGCCTGTGTTGAATTTTCTCAACCAAATTAGCGATCCTAGTTTTCACTCTTAAAAAATGTCTTTTCAAATATTTAAAGGTAAAAACACCACAGACGAAAGACATACAGACCACGAATTAAAGGATCAGGTCCCCACAAACGTTTTGGTCCCTGGAAGAGCAATCTCTTCCCTGGCCGGCACTCCTCCCCTGGGATGTTTACCCAGCCCGGGAGATGACTTCTTTCTAACTCTACAGTCTTTATCCTCTTCAGGTGTCTTCAGCCTTCCCTGTAGAACTAGGTCCCTTCCAACCCTTCCAGGGAGGACACTCCTTCCTCAGTCCTGTCACCCAAAGGGACTAGAGTTAGGGATGGTATTATTCCTGCTTCACATTTGCCTTTCTCTCAAACTTCCCTCTTTGGAGTTTAAGGTCACTGGCTTACACCTTCTTCCCAGGAAAACACACCTCTTTCCCTTACATTTTCAGCCTCTAACTTAGTCTCCTGTTTCTCTCCATCATTTTCAGAGGCTAAGGCACCAAGTACAGCTGTGCAGGTTGTTCACTGCACAAGGGCATCTGGCTGATAAATGGTGGGGGCTGCAATCTATTTCATATTCAGCTTGTCATTAGGTGGCTTCTGGTGACAGGCTGACTCTGCCTGAGGAAGGGCTACCTTTTTCTCATCTGCACCAAGGCACCATGTGGGCCCCATGGAGGCTGGCAGCCTCAGGGTTAGCCAGATGGTGGGCTGCGGTCCAGATTCTTATGTGAAGTTGCTGCCTTGATAATTCCAGCAGGGACAGAAGGAAATGCCGTCAGGAGGAATGCAATTAGCAGAGTGTCAGGGAGGAACACAAGGAGCAGGCACTTCCAGGGAATCTGAGAGAAGGCTGCCGATTGGACACCCGAGAGCTGCCAGGGGAGCTCCTCGCCTACCCACCCAGGTGCCGGGTTCCGCTGGAGAGCTGGGCTAGGTGGGGGCTGGCCTGGAATACGGCACATCTGTGACTGCTCCCAGACTCCCCAGGGAGGGCACTGACATCTCTCGTTCACTGGCTGCCGAGGTCACAACACGGAGCCTTGGGGGGAAAAAACCAGCCTGCCCCAAAGAGTCCCTTTGGCCCACCTCCTGTCCCCATTTTACAAACAGGGAAACAGGTCCAGAGAGGGAAAGGCCACCTGAAGTAAGAGATGCCCAAGAGTCTTTCTGCTCAGTCTCTGCATTCTTTAAAAGGTTTTTTTTAATGTTTATTCAAGAGAGAGAGAGAGAGAGAGAGAGAGAGAGAGGAGACAGAGCACGAGGAGGGGAGGAGCAGAGAGAGAGGGGGAGAGAGAATCCCAAGCAGGCTCCAGCTGTCAGCACAGAGCCCAACGTAGGGCTCGATCTCACAAACTGTGAGATCATGACCTGAGCTGAAATCAAGAGCTGGAGGCTTAACCAACTGAGCTGCCCAGGCGCCCCCTCTGAATTCTACTCTGGGTCCTGCTCTTCATTAATGCTTCCCCCTCCAGACCTGCTCCTCCCCCGGGTCCTCCCCCTCTGGACTTGCTCCTCCAAAGGATCCTCCCCACTCCAGACCTGCTCCTCCCTGGGATCCTCCCCACTCTGGACTGGCTCCTCCCTGGGATCCTCCCCACTC